CTCTCTCTCTCTCTCTCTCTCTCTCTCTCTCTCTCTCTCTCTCTCTCTCTGTGTGTGTGTGTGTGTGTGTGTGTGTGTGTGTGTGTGTGTGGTGTAAATGGGGTGTGTGGGGTACATGGGGTGTGTCTGAGTGCGTGAGAGAGGAATAAATGCGGTGAAGTTCCCACCAACCAGAGCTACAAGTGGGGTCCAAATACAATGACAGCACTCATTAGCCTAGTAGCGGGACTACGTTTGCAAACTTATTGTCAGTCGATAGGTGCCTGCACTCTAGTCCACAGAGTCCAATCCATCTTCCAGAATAGCAAGTTGAAGACCGCCTAAGGATAGTATTCAAAGAACTGTCCCTCTAACAGGTAATCAATTGCAGATGTCTTGGACAGGCCAGATGCTTGCCCACTCGTAATGAGAGGGAACCTTGCAATAAAACCAACCTTTCTCAGATAGTGCCCAGTATTCGCTGTTCAGATAAACATTGCCTGCCTGTACACCCACCAGAGTCCCCTCAGCCTGCAGGAGCAGAAATGGGAGTTCAACGCTACCGGGTAGCCGACCAGTGGTTACCATAGAGAAACTGCGAAGACTGAAGACCAACAGAACTTAACAGGGGGGGCTGGGAGAGAGAGAGAGAGAGAGAGAGAGAGAGAGAGAGAGAGAGAGAGAGCACTAATGCAGGGAGAGTGGATAGTCAATGCAAGAGAAGAGTACTTAGACCTCAAGTGGAGAGTTCCAGCCCTTCTACGGCACCTCTGAGTTAGTCCGTAGGACCTGCTTAGCCCCAAGAGATATGCCCCTGTTCGGTACCTGCAGGATTAGGCTTGGCCCTCAAGCAATACAATCACCAGCACCTCTGGACACAAACTATTGCGCCCGTTTTTCCCGATCAACACTGCCTACGACAAAGGTCAATTACACACCCACGTCTAAGAAAGTAAACGTTGGTTCACCCGAGGTAAAAGAAAAACACTCAGTAGTTATCAGTTGGGGAGGGGGCGGGAAAGGGCCCCGCCCGACCATTCGTCGATCCTGCAGGAAAAAAAACTGAAAAGCGTGCTGCCCATCCGTTTTTAGCTCACCTACCAACCATCTTTGCCTTTTTTTTGTTCTACCAACCATCCTTGCTTTCATTTCTCTCTCCCAACTCGCAAGGTAAAAGGTAGACCGCAACCCCAACACCCTCGCCGATTCTGGAGGTCCGGTGGACAACATGCCGTTCCTTCCACCACGGCAGCCCCGCTGCCGGCGGCCACGTCTCCAACCTTGGACAATGACTCCCTCCACCAACACACTTGTCTTTATCTTTTCTCTTCTTTTCTCTTCTTTTTCTTTCTTTTCCTACTGCCATTCCGTCCGTTGAAAACGAAATCCATCCTCTTCTACCAACGCTGCAACCCATTTTGGCTGTCAGATTCGGAGAGAGAGAGAGAGAGAGAGAGAGAGAGAGAGAGAGAGAGAGAGAGAGAGAGAGAGAGAGAGTCAAATTACGCTTGAACACCGCGACAAGCCATTTTGCTCGGAGAGTGGTCGAGCGAGACCTACTCTTTCTTACTCGCATACTACCAAATTGCAGGCAATTCTTCTACGCGTACAGCGGTTCAGCATTCAAGCATGACTGCAACAAGAGACCAAAGAGAGAACATGCAAAGCCGTCTTTGCCAACGTTCTAACACATCCGACAAACTCCCAACCTACCGTTACCTCCGTCTGTCCTCGCTTTAAAGATAAAGATGTATCGCACCTCCCTTTCCTGATGCTAACCGCTCGACATCTCACCAGCTCCCAGATCCCTTTCCCTGCGTCTGTCTGCTTCAGAGAGAAACATCCGTCGTACCGCCTGTCCCTGATGCTCTCGCGCGCTCTGCATTGCAAAGGATCCCAGGTGAAGTTCCCCCTTCGTCTGTGCGCTTCAGAGATCTGTCGTACCTCCCTTCCCTGATGCTAACGCACTTTTTTACATCGCAAAGACTTTGCCAAATGCATCTCCTCCTTCGCCTCGTGCTAACGCGCTCTACATCGCACAGGCTCCCAGCTGAAGTTCCCCCCTTCGACTGTGCGCTTCAAAGATCTGCCGTACCTCCCTTCCCTGATGCTAACGCCCTCTACGTCGCAAAGATTCCCAAATGCAGTTACTCCTTCGTCTGTCCGCTTCAGGGATCTGTCGTCCTGACGCGCTCTACATCGCAACGGTCCCCCAAATTCAACTCTCCCTTCGTCTCTGCGCTTCATAGATCTAACGTGCGCTGGATCACAACGATTCCCAAATGCAGTTCCCCCTTCGTCTGCCCGCTTCGGGAAGATCGACCACAGCTCCCTTTCCCGATGATCGACCCTGCCCTCCTTTCTGCTACGGCCGCATCTGCATTCCCGACATCCCCCAACTTCAACTCTCCCTTCGTCTGTGCGCTTCATAGATCTAACGTGCTCTGGATCACAACGATTCCCAAATGCAGTTCGCCCTCGCCTGATGCTAACGTGCTCAGGATCGCAAAAATTCCCAAATGCAGTTCCCCCTTCGTCTGCCCGCTTCGGGAAGATCGACCACCACAGCTCCCTTTCCCGATGATCGACCCTGCCCTCCTTTCCCAATGATCGACCCTGCCCTCCCTTCTGCTACGGCCGCATCTGCATTTCCGACAGCTCAGAAAGTGGAAACATCTACTTTCCACCAGTCGCATCTGCATTTCCGACAGCTCAGAAAGTGGAAACACCTACTTTCCACCAGTCTCAGTTCCGCCAACCATAACACAGATTTGATCACTTCCAAGTTAAACCAAGAACTCCCACTTGGACTCGGCGCACATCAAACACGATAGCGGTCGGCTACGGTACGTAGTGCTCTTCTCCATCGAAGAGGGAGGAGGGGGGGGGTTGGAAGGAAGAGAAAAGTGGCTTGCCTGAGCAGCACAGCAGTGAGTTCCACCCATGATTGCTTCGACTCGAATTTGATTAGCTGACGATATATTTTAGCCATTTGAATCCCACACAGATAGTCATGTCCATCCCATTTTCCGCATCCCCCCCCCGAGCACACATCTGTCCCCTCTTATCCTCTATTTCTCACATGCATCCATTTCTTCCCCTTCTTCCTCTCAAGCCACCACGTTTCCCGCTCTAACGCCTCCATGGTTGTCCTGTGCGGCGGCAGCACACTGAACTGTTATATATCTTTTGTGTCGAACGGTGCTGCCATCACCTCCACTTTCCTCCTCACCCCTCTCATCTTTTCCATTACCACTCCCCAAAAAATGTTCTTTTTCAAATCTGATACGGTATTCAATTTGAGTGCCCCCCCGCTCGATCACTCGTCTTCCCTTTCGCACTCCACAACAATCTTCTTTCCAAGTCTCATAATAAGCCTTCCAGACTGACAGATGGCAGAGAGCAGTACGGAGGGAGGGCAAAGAGAGGGAGACCGGAGGGAAGAAGAGACGGCGGGAGCAGGGTGGGAGGGAGAGAGGGCGGGGGGGAAAAGGCACAGAAGGAGCAAGGGAATGGACGGGGGGGGAGGAGGAGAACAAGCCACAGAGAGGGAGGGTTGGAGGAGAGGAAATGGAAGCAAAGGCATGAGGGGCAGGAGGAACGGCAGGAGAAAAGCATGGCGGGATGGTGTGTGTGGAATGGAGAAATGGGCCCAGGGAGAAGCGAGTGAGAGAGAGATTGAAGTGATGAATACAGGAACCGCAAATCGAGCAGAATAAACAGCGGGATGAAGGGGATTTCGAGAGAGCGCAGCAGGAGGAGGGAAATATTTGCCAAGGAATAACCACGTTACAGGAAACAACAAGAGAAGAGAGATGCAAAGTCAGGTTCACGTTCTCATCATATCCATCCCCCCACCCATCGGATCCACGCCCCTCTCGTTGCTAGTGCTACGTCCTCCGGTTCGCCAGGGTGGGTAACCGCCCCCCCCCATGATGTCATCCCCCTTCTCGATGTTCCCGAACCCGCCGCCGCCTCCTACTACTGCTCCTACCCCGTACTCTTCTTCCAGACCGTAATCTTCCCCGAAGAACTTGTCGATGAGATGATTAGACATTGCTCGCAATTCATCATTGGAATGATTTTGCAACGACTCCATCGCTTCAATTCCATCCTCCTTCTCCACAACCTGAGGACCTCTGCGGTCGGGCATCGCTCTCAAGACCAGCTCCAAAAACTGAAGACCTAGTTTCGCCGCCTCGATGTCGAGAGACCTAACGAGAGCGATGAAACCAGGAACACAACCGCGATCCACAACGGAGACCAGGTGGTTTACCAACACGTCCGGCTGCGAAGGATTATGCGCCGCCGCCGCGGCCATCGCCATCTCCTCTACCTCCCCTGCAGACGGGGAATGACCCACTTTCGTCGCAACGGCGGCGGCGGCGGCGGCGGCGGCGGCGGGCATAACACAAACGTTCCCGATGACATAAGCCACCTCTTTGCGCACATCGAAGGCCGCCGTGGCCAGCAAATGCAACAGGGGCGGCATCGCTCCACCGGAGAAAACTGCCTCCTTGTGCGCGACGGTGCCGCCCGCTATGTTCGACAAAACCCAAGCAGCCTCCTTCTGGAGGATTCGGTGTTCACTCTCCAAGCAACGCACTAGCCCTCCAATCAAGCCTCCGGGAATCTCCGCACCCGCAACAAGAACGGCATCCGTACGGCTGTTCTCTCCCGCCACGATGTTGCCGATTGTCCGTACAACGGGCGTAAGCAGGCCGGGAGTCGACGCGCTCACCAAATGGCGCAGGAGAGGTGGCAGAAGACCGGCCTCTATAAGGCGGGGAACTTGGGGGTCGAGCATCGAAGTGACGTACGTGAGAACCCAGGCCACCTCCACGACAAGATCCGTGTCGCCCTTGCTAAGCGCCGATATCAGTAGCTCCATCATTCCCCGCACTTTCATCAACTCCATGGCGGCAGACGGATCGGGGCCCTTGATGAGGTTCGACATCACCCATGCTGACGTCCGCGCCACGGACGACGGCCTCATTACCCCCATCAAGCGCGCCAACGGCCGCAGCGCGCCGTTGGCCAGCAGAACCGCGCGTACCTCAGGTCCCTCACCTGCCATATTTCCCAAAGCCCATGCGCACTGCTCCGCTACCGGCATCGGACTCTTGTCGCCCAAGTGCGCGATAAGCAGAGGCGCCGCCGCCAGCGCCGCCACCGTGTTCTCGCTGTCACCCGAGGCGATGTTCGTCACACACCAGGCTGCCTCCACCAATTGCTCTTCTCGAGATCCGAACTTCAGACACTCGATTAGCAGCGGGATCACCCCGGCGCGCACTGCCGGCGTCACCGGCGGGAACGATCCCGAAGACAACTGCACCCTCAACTTCTGTAGTGCCTGCACCCTTAGTCTTGCCGTATCTCCTCCACCTCCGGTGACTTTCCCGATTGTCGGGACCCCCGCTGCGGCGCCGGAGGGGGCGGCGCCCTTTACCAGCGCGCGAAGCTCTTCGACCGCTTGCACCACCGTCTCTCCCGCCAACCTCTCTGCTTCTTCCTCGTCTATCTCCACCCCCTCCCCCTTATCTCCCATTTCCACGACGTCCTCGACGCCTTCCTCATCCTTCACAATCCCTCTGCAGATTCTCTTCGCCCGCATCAACGCCTCCCGCCTCTCTTTACCGATGATCGCCGCCTGATTCCTTCGGCGTGCCGCTGCTATCGGCCCGACGCTGGCGAGCAATGGCGCTCGCCTCTGCGGAGTCCTCCCAGGTCCCCATGACCCCTCCCCTCCGGTGAAACTACCCTCGCCGCCGAACGAGAGATCTGCCATCTCCTTCTCCCCACGGTTATCTCACTTCCTCCTCTCTCTCCCCCCCCCCCCCCCCCCCCCCCC